GGCAGTATCCTGGACGATTTTTTTTTCTTTTAAAAAAAATAAGATGGTCATTGCAGCGTTAGCCGCGCACGTTCACAATTATTCGATCTCGAATCCGGGCAAAGATGAAGAGCTCAATCCGTCTCTTTGTTGGATGTTGGTTTTCGGATGCGTGCGCCCGCAGTCAGAGCGAGGTGTGAGAATGATTTTTCTTCTAGTGATGCCTCGTTGCCATAGGCAGGTTAATATAACCCTCTACTAACCTTTCTCGGCGTATAAAAATTTCACTCTCGGGGCTCCACCACTCAACACTTGTCAAATTATCCAGTAGAGTCTGGACTTTCCGCAGCGAATAGCATCAAAAAAACTCTGAATAAGGCAAATAGACGAAAGACAACCGGTACGATTAGCCAGAAATACTTTTTTCTTTAAAAAAAAAAATTGAAGAATACATAATTTGTCGAAATGAAATAATTTTAGGTTGAAAATTTGTCATATTTTCCAATTTTTTCACATGAAATAAACACAAATTTTCAAGAAATTTAATGCCTCGATGAAAAAATAATGTCCGATTATTTTCATTTCAACCATCAAAACAAGTTATGAAAGCCCCTCTCCTATACATTTTCCGAGTTACTCTAATATCAAACCTCAAAAAAAAAACAGGAAGTCTGCGACGTCGCAAACCGAGTTATGTGATTGCCGACTTACACCGTCGATATACCGCAGTTTTGGGTGTTAGCGATCTGAGAGAGCGCGCTTGATGGAGAGAGAGTGGTTTTTTTTCCTCTCTCTCTCTCNAAAAAAAAAAAAAAAAAAAAAAAAAAAAAAAAAAAACCACTCTCTCTCTCCATCAACCGCGCTCTCTCAGATCGCTAATACCCAAAACTGCGGTATATGTATACCTGCACTCTATTAATACTATCAATTCGTTTTACTAAATCGGGAAAAAACGAAAAATTCAATTTTCCGTAGGTCTCTAGTGGGTATATTTTTCACTTGTTTATTGCCTATGTCTGGACGGATCTCTGAATTTTTTGGCTGAACAACCACCCTTCCCAAAGAAAAATTTCTGACTGCATCCATAGAGGAAAAAAAGGAGGTGTTTGCATTTCGGGCATCTTGGAAATTTTTTGATGATTTGATGACGTAGGTCGGTACAGCGACGTTTATCCTGTCGATTTTCTTGGAAATGGTGTAATTTAAGGAAAAAAGTCACTCTATGAAAAGTGCTTGAAATTATATAATGAGTTGATTTAAGTAAAAAAATCGGACATCATGGTCCGTTTTTCATATTTCGAATTCCGGATTTCGCTGGCCAGGTTGTGACGACCTACGTCACAGGGTAAACAAACCTTAAGATGCAAACACCTCCTTTTTTTTCTCTATGGACTGCACCGGGTGATGAGAGTCAAGTACGAAAGCTCGATCCTCCGACATGCAAAGATGACCGATTTCGCCGGGCAGTTAGGCAACCCCGAGACGGCGCGCGGCGCCCAGCGCCCATCGGTGACCACCGATTTATCCGGACAATACGGCTGTATATTTGGAGTGCATTCCCGTTAAAATGCTAATATGAGTGGGCAGCCGGGGAGTCTGCGGCCAGCAGCCAGGTGATTGTTCATAATTCATAGCGTTCACGCGTTGCCATTGCGCTGTGGATGAGTTCTGCTCCGTTGCCCCCGTTTTTCGGCCCCCACAGGACGATTTTAATTCGTCTACACTGAGTCCTGACAGGCCTGTTCATGTGAACTGATCGATGTCAAAACCTCACTTGTCCATTTATGCTGTTGAGCCCCGAAGTCCATTAAAACGCCTGCGTTCCAGGGTCTATCTGACGATGAACATGCCATAGGTTTCAACATCGACTGACTCCTGTACTTGACTTGGGGCCTCACTATTTGATTTGTTGGGAAAGTCTCTCGATCTCTGTACAACAAATATATCTTCTCTGTCGAACTGCCAAAAAGAGCAGTACCGGTGAAATTTTCAAAATTGAGTTTTCTACAAAATTTGATTAATTGTTGGTTAATCCTGCTGGACGAGCGAATCGTCTTTTGTGTGAAATGTGAGGGATGCAACCGAATAGCTTTTTTAGACATTCATGTAAAGTAAATATAACTGTTATTTCCAGGTATTTACAGATTGCACTCTCATGCACTGCTGCAGGTATCATATAGTCCGTATACTTATTGTACATTCGTCTTCTTTCTCCCTTCTTTCCCCCGCAATGAAAATAGTTGTCCTAGAATGCTTTCCCTTTTTTGCTGTTTTTTCAGTAGCCTATCACAACATCAGATTAATCGTGGAGTGGATGGAGACCCAATGTCAAGTTTCCATCACGAAATGGATCTGCATTTGAATTAATATGGAGTTACTTATGTGCCGATATATTAAAATTTTGAAAGCTTTATTGATGAGGGTTTTCGCAGATGTTCCGCAACGCATCAATTCACTGAACTTTCTTTCCACTTTAGAGAACCACTGGAAGAATTGAGAGTAATAAACTGGGACAGAAAGGGCAGGCACAGTTGGCATGAGTATAGTCATCGGGTATTTTATCGGTAAAGTGCGGGAAAAGTCGGGAAAATTTCACGAAACTTGCAACGTTCACTTCTTGCAGGGCAGGATTAAAGGTGACGATGAGAAGCGGTTGGACCAGACGCCCTAGCGCCACGCCATTGCAATGAAGACGCTAAAATGAGAAGAAAGAAAAGGGAGGAGAGAAAAAATGAAGAGTAACGATAAGGAACAACCTTACCCGGCAGTACGAATGGCAAGCCGGCCGAAAACATTGTCATACCACTGCAAGCTTTAACCGAACCGATTATCGATGTGTGATTCTATTGGTAGATATAGCATCAACTTGAATCTCGCCTTCAATTTCATTGCATAGGCAATAAAATACCTGAGAGCGCGAAAAGTTACCTATTCGAAAAACACAAAACCTCTCCCCATTAGCGGCAGAGCACAGGGGAGAATTTCATGAGCCGTCCGCAGCGCATGACGCACGACCCGCCTTTTATTATTACACTTCATCTAGCGTTGAGAGTTCACTAGGTAATTACTTCACACGACCAGTGTGTAATTTTAAAAATCGAAAATTAAAAAAAAATGTACACGATATACGAGTTTCTCTGCCGGGGAGCTCTCCCCACAAGAAATCTTTCACCACCCGCCCGTTGGGGGCGGGCGCCGCACCGCGGCGTGCTACCAGTGCGAAACGCGCACTGACGCCTACAAACCTGAAGGGCTACTTCACGAATTGTGCAATGCTTGAAGTATCCCTTTAGGTTTGTAGGCGTCGGTGCGCGTTTTGAGCTGGAAGCGGCTGCAGCACGCACTGTGCAATGCTTGCAGTATCCCTTTAGGTTTGTAGGCGTCAGTGCACGTTTCGAGCTGGAAGCGACTGCAGCACGCATTGCGCAATGCTTGAAGTATCCCTTTAGGTTTGTAGGCGTCAGTGCGCGTTTCTAATTGGAAGCGGCTGCAGCACGCCGCGCCGCAGCGTGCCATAAACTTGCCCACAATTAATAGGTCAGGGTGTCACAATGTAGGGAATTTGACATCAAATTCGAAATTAGCGACTCAAAAAAAATTGGTTTTTAAACTTTCTTGATCTTTCAGTCACTATCCGACTTATTTCTTCCTATTCTTGAGTTTTGGACCATAGTGCCCGCGCCCGCGGGTTGACAGTGGCTCATGAAATTTTCCCCTGTGCTCAACCGCTCCATTAGTTTCGATTGAACCGATAAATGATGACGTTAACCTATTGGTGCGTATATGGTCCATTTAAAGGTCGCCTTCAATTTATTTCTACAATGGTAACAAACATATCGGAGAACACGGAAAGTTTTTATTCATTCCAAACACTGTGCATTATAATATCGCTTTACGTAAACGTTACTGTACCAATGGACCATGCGTAAACCTATTGACAGGCATCGGCCACTCTAGGCACGCCCTCACTTTCGAAATTTTTAAGGTTGAAATTAATACTTCAATTTAAGCGCAAAAAGGATCTCACGAAGTATCATTAAGACGTTGAGCTATGAAATCCATGCCTATTTACTTCAACGATAATCAGGATTATTTTGTGAAAATGTGCACGTATTCTCTTTGAAGAAAATAAAACGAAGCCAATGAGTAAATCATATTCTTCCAGCACTGAAGTGAAGGAAACATTCACTTAAACTAAAAGAATCATTTCCTCACCAGCATGAGCATCGACGGCGTAAGTACGCAACCACGTATCTCGGTTTGCGACGTTGTAGATTTTCCTAACACACTTTATTTTTTAAATGGAAAATTACTCAACGGCTATTCTCAAAAACTGCACAGATTTTTCCTCTCTGTATTAAGAATATTCTGCGAAAACTTCAAGGAATGACGTCGATTTTTTCTCCTTTAAAAAAATAAAATATGAGCGAAGATTTTCAAACACCGCAAACGAGATACACAGTTGCGGACTTGCACCGTGGATATGCCATGCTTTCTCTATCCACAAAAATGTCCCCTTCATCCATTTTTTGTTCTCACCTAGATCCGCAACCGATTCGCAAACCGAGATACGTGGTTGCGTACTTACGCCGTCGATGCTCATGCTGATGAGGAAATGATTCTTTCAGTTTAAGTGAATGTTTCCTTCACTTCAGTGCTGGAAGATTTGTCCGTTACTCCTTCTTGGTACCCAGTCAAATGATTTAGAGTATCATAAAAAAGAAACTCAAATCTGTGATTGAAATAAATCGATAATTTGTTTTATTTACCTTCATTTTTTTTTTTTTTTTCGAAAAATGAAACAAGCGAATGGTGTAGGCCGATTATTTTGAGGAATACCCTACTAGCCGCAGTTTTCTGTCCCTGGAAAGTGATCGTTCCATACGAAAAGTGTAAGCGGGCCACGAAAAAAAGTCCGCAAATTTGAATTAAAGACTTTTTGGCGCGCGCCGTAAGAAGACTGACACAGCCAATCGCAGACATCAACCAATGATCAGTCAGCACTCTCTCTCGCCCCTCGCCCCTCTCTCTTCGCCGCAAGTCGTGCAATCAAAACATAAACAACTTGTTACCACACACGTCATTGCTGACTTTTTTTCGGAAGAAAATTAATTGAAGTTTTAAGAGACATCAGCCGATAGTGCAATAATTTTTTTATCGAAGTATACATCATGTGCCATCCCTCCTTTGAAGTTTATGAGTCATCTTCTATCGTGATCAGCTCTATTATGTTGGGAATCTTCCAGGACACTAAGGTTATGTCAGAGCAATTATAACAGATTTTTTAATCTAGTACTTAAATTTGACACTTAGTGACGCGATTACTATTGATGCGCATCAGAAATGGCTAGTTTTGTAAAAAATCAAAACAATACATCAGTATCTATCCCGAATGTGGAGCTGAATCCTCAAGGTGTCGCTATGTATAACATCTCTGTGAAAGTGAGCGATGTCACTTGGTTTGTTCAACACCGTTACAGTGACTTCGTGGATCTACATAAGAAATTAGTAGAAGATCACAGTGTTGCAAAAGATGCCCTTCCTCCCAAGAAAGTGATAGGAAATAAAGATCCACAGTTTTTGGAGAAACGTCGTTTTGGTTTAGAGAACTACCTTAAAATGCTTATTTCCTTTCTCCAAAGAACGATGCCTCAAGAACTAGTAGTATTCCTGGATTTCCACAAGTATGACACGCTCTTTCTCTTGAATGAGTTGGCATCTGATCTCTTCCTCCATGGTGATCTGTACTTGTCCAGTTCAAAATCCTTCACCTTAGATTCACTGCAGGTAATGAATCAATTATTTGCCGTTCTTTTCTTATCATCTATAACTCTATGATGCGAGATTCTGATTATGTCAGACAATGTATGGCTTATCAAACTGTTCTTTGAATTAGTTTTCACAAAAATTATGTAATCATCCTTGATCACCTGGGCAGATGAGAAGGTCCTTTCAAACAGCATACTCTAGAGAAAACTGATTAAGATTTTGTTTATCTCACTCTGATCAAGATCTATTCTCATAGCCCAGTCATTCCCAGAACCACACAAGCTCACTTTTGGCATATGGAGCTGTTTTATTTTACTCACGTAAATTTAAATTTTTGAAGTAAATAAATCTTGAAATCTTGAATCTTGAACCAAATTGAGAATCTTCTGCGTATGACATCAGTATTACTGCCGCGAAAGCCAGAAAGCTGGAAATCAGTGTTTTTCTTATGGGAGAAGGCTATTTTTTATTGACGAATCATCTAAATTTCTTACTCTCAAATAGTTTAAAGCTTTTCGAGAGTTGAAAACAACATTTACACCTTAGCTTTCAGGGTTTTGATTCAGCCGAATTTACTTTTTTATATTTTTAAATGGTAATTGAATTCAGCACTGTGCGAGCCATTTTATGGTATAGATTTGGCATGTAAAAATGGTTGATGCAGAGTCAACTGTAATAATGAAAAAACGAATTCAGCAAAGTTGAAACCCTGAATGCTAATGTCTAAACGTTCTTTTCAGCACTCAGGAAGTCTCAAAGGATTTAAAAGTCAGAAATTTAAATAATTCATCACTAAAATAGTATTCTCCAATAAAAAAAGCATTGTTTCTGACATTTCTGGTTTTTGCAGCAGTAATACTGATGTCACAATCTAATGGACGGGGGGACCTCAAGCGGGGAAATCTGAGCACTGACTAACCTATATAGATGATCTTGACTCTGATTCAAGAATTGAACTTAACTCATTCAAATGATGTATCAATATTTAGAACCATAATGCTAACTACAGCTTCTCTTCAAAACTAATATTAAACTGAATATTGTGTTTAGTACTTTTTTTAGGTACCTACTTTAAGTCTTAGATAGTGAGTAAATTCTCTACACTCTAATTCACAGAAAATTTCAAGACGTTATGTTGTTTAGCTCCCTGTTAAAAAAAGGAAAAAACTTGATAAGGTTTGGGACAACAAATGCAATTAGACTAATTCTGGTTGAATCTATCTAACAGATTCTACCCTCAGTATTTCTCAAGCCAGTCTTTCCAAAAATAGCTGGCAGCCCATTGTTCTTTATGGTACTCTTAAAAAATGTCATTCTCTTAAAGGATTGTAGCAGGGATTTTATAGCCTCATTTAATTTGCTTCATTTTTTATTTATAGCTTCATGCAATCAGCGAACGGTTGAAGCAACCCTGTTCATCACTAGAAATTCAAGGAAAGATGCAAGATTTCAGTCACATCCTCGACTTTTGCAGCCAATTGAAAACCCTTCACGTTCAAAACTGCGAAGAATTTGTTGGCCGCAGTAGCATCAAGTACAACTCCCTTCCTTTTGACCTTACCATCTTCAAATCTCTAGAAAAACTGTGCTTGACCAATGTCATAGTAAGTAACATTTTCAGTGTGGGCTCACTAAGGACATCTTTAAAATCCCTCCATGTCAACAATTGCCGTGTAACGTTAATGTCTGAATTCTTGCTTTGCGATGAAATGCACAAAAACCTTGAGACCGTCAACTCAGCACATGTTTGGAAAGATCTCATTGAAGTTGACTTCAGTCGGAATAACATATCTTCCATTGGTAATGCTGTACTGTTAATACCCAATGCTGAGAAACTGGTCCTTGCCGATAACAAAATCTTTGACCTAGGTAACATGACTGTTCTTTCTCACTTGCGGGTTCTAAATCTATCAGGTAACTGTTTAAGCGACAAGTCTATAGAAAATTTGCACCAAAAAATAGGAAAAATTGTCTCGTTGAGTATGGCTCAGAATTCATTGCAGTCACTGGAAGATTTTTCAAAACTATATGCCCTAGAAAGTTTAGATGTGGGATCCAATTCCATTAAAGACATTAAAAAAGTTGAGCAAATCAGTTCGCTTCCCTGTTTGGACTACCTTGTGTTGACAGGCAACCCTGTTGCGACTATAGTTGATTATCGAATAAAAGTTTTCGAGCTGTTCGGTGACCGAGCCCAGGATTTGTGCCTAGATAACGAAAAGCCAACTCAAAAAGAACTTGATACAGCAGCAGTGCTGAAAGCTCTAAGGATTGCCAAAGAGGGTAGGTCACCAATTTTTTCCCCTCCTTCGTAGCCAAAGACTGATAAACTGTTTCTGTGTGAGACATTTTACTTCTATCTGGTGATGCACTCTTGATTTAGAAATTAGAGCCCGAGTAAGTGGGTGTTGTGGAAGCAGGTTATCAACCAATTGTTGAAATTTTGTCTCCGTTGATGAGACCAAGATTGGCTGAACTGAAATTGAGTCTGGTGACTGGTCAGTTGTATCACTGAAAATCTTTGTTTCACCATTTTCCGGCAAGTGAATCATTAAACGAAAGTTACCTTTGTTGGTGATGGGTAATCGATCATTATTTGATTGGATGGAGGCACACCAAAGAAATCAAACGATTCAGTGGACTTGTCACTAACATTCCAGTTCAGCCAATTCTTTTCAAGGTCACATATAACACTATAAGTATTATTGAAACTTTTTTATAAATATCAAAGTACTTCGGTTTTCACCAGTAAAGACAGAAGAACCATTAATTGCAATCCTGAAACAATGCCATGGCCATCAAATGTTTTTCTGTCAGCCAATTTAGGTCATAAGCTGACCAATTGGTGAAAAAGCACCTAACCCTTAAGTACTGTTGCAACCTTGACATTATTCAAGCGTGATATTATCATAGTTTTTCTCATTGTTATGTTATGTCTCTATTTTTTTACTGCATAATTATTTTATAAATGGAATGCTAGACAGAACATTGAACCTATATTTACTATTTCATTGAAATTCTGAAAATATTTTTCATACCTACTGTTTTAAAACAAAATTATTCAAGTTTAATGTCTTATAAACCCTTCAACATTGGATCAAATGCAACCAAAAAAGTACAATCAACACTGTCTAGAAATTTTGAATAGTCTTCTATCTTTTCCTCAAATTAAGAGTGTAATTCTTCAAAATAACTGTTAAAATTTATGTATGGAAGTTTTATCCTTTTATCTTAGACTTACAAAGTGGATTCAACTCGTGCACTTTCTCAACATTCTCTGCAGTCAGAAGTTAAGATCAAAATGGAAAGTTTAACCTCTAATAACTCTTAATTCAAGGTACTTCTTGTGATATTTTCTCAACGCAAAATCGCTAATCCATTAAAGGAATTGCTACACAATTCTAAAATCAGGAAGATGTTTTTTCAGAATTAATTTTCCGTTTCTTCACCCGGAGGTTCTTATCGAAGTTATGAACTTCTTCAAGACTGAATTTATTCCTTCTAAGCTGTAAAAAAGAAATCTTTGATCTCTAATATTTTAAAAATGTTAATACATCTCTTCTACAGTATTTGATCCAATTATACTTATAGTTGCAGTTTTTTATGTCAGTTGGCTCACATTTTGCAATAAGAAGCTACTATTTCTGGCTTATGTTGGAAATAACATGTATGCCATTAGTTTCCCTTTGCAGATAGGCGCTTTTAAAGGTAAGCCAACGATAGTGGTTTCTTACTGCAAATTGTAATCCAGTTGATTCTCAATGAAGCAGGGTTTCTTATTAAAGTATTCTATGTAGAAAGGAAAAAGCTCTTACTGAAAAATTACTCTAAATTTAAGTTCCCTCTGAAAAAATTATTTAAATTCAAGTCAAGCAAGATGACTGACTTTTAAAGTAAGACAGAAAATGTGCCATCTTGTTTCCTATCTTTAGTTTTAATGCCAGAATATGACGACAGATCTTCCCTAACATCCTAGCAGTTTACTACTGCTATCTAGGTTTGTTGGAGTCTATTTCGTGTAAAGTTTGCTGCATAGACTTAAGGCTATCAAAAAAATTACATGTAATGTCTGGGAGGGAAGCGTTTACATCATTGTAATAGGTACACAAGCTCCTCTGAAACCTCCTCATTTTATCTTTATACTCTTTGAGAGAAGAAATTTGCTATAAAATTATTGTTGTTAACTTCAAAAGAAAACAAAATTCTCACTCTTTTGGACGGAAATATTCGCGATCTTTGAGGAAATAGTTGTTTTGTGGTTTTCATGTAAATTCAATTAATTTATTTAGCAATGGCAACTCCAATAAATGGCTTTTTGAATTGTGGTATCCAAAACTCTGATCTCAATCTTTATTTATTTATTTATCTATTTATTTATTTTTTTTAATTGCAATCATAAGAAATGAAGAAAAAAAGTCCAAATGGTACTCAAGAAAACCAGCCAGGGTCTCTTGTACAAATACAACTAATTTATTCTTGAAAAAAGAAAAAAATCTTGCAAATGTTTAAATGATCGACCGGATCTTTTCTCAAAATAAGTCATGATAGATAGCTCTGCCAGGTATGACAAATCAAGGTACATGTTTTTCTTTTTCATCATCCTATGTAATCAATGGTAAGAAAGAAGTAGCGCAGAGTAAAAAAAATCACCACAGTATTTGCTACTTTTCCAAAGAATGAAATTGTTATTATTTGTGCAATGCCATGCAAGGAAAACATATCCACCGTAAATCAAATCAATAGGTATCTATTAAGTAAGCATTACTCAAGTGAGCTCCTATATTTATCTAGACCTAGGTATGAGCTTATTAATCTGTATACTTAAAAAATAAAATATCACTATCATTAAAACACAGCACTGACTTTTGATCATTTCATCCATTTATTGTTTCCTTACCTCTTCAACATTCATGGAAGGAAGCAAAGTGGACAGAGAAGAACTGGAAGGGAAGAGTCTTAAACTGTTATTCACTCGGAAGATTTGACAATTGACACACTGAAATTTTCTCTGCAGCTGAAAATCTCGAGCGGATGATTTAAAATGTTAGTAATTTTTTCAGATAAAAAGTCTCCATCAAAACTGACAATCATCGTGTCGGTTTACTCGTCTGCTAAGTGCCTCTGTCACAGTATCTACTAGTAGGTGAATTGTCGCCCCCTCAGCATTACGCCGTCAAATTAAAATTCCCGCCGTCTGACGTCAATAATAACATAACCTCAAAATAAGTTACCTGGTATTTGTTTACATTTTTCGGAGACAGCATGTCTAAAGAATTCTCCAACGTCGTGTTGAAGTTGAATGATTAATTTTTCCTCATCACTCCCGTAAGTAACCACAGTATTGTTCATTTTCTCATTATTTTGTCGCCGCGATGATATGACCAAATTAAACATCAATATCTTACTTTGTGGCACAATCCTGACTTTTTCAGTATCTGGGTAAGTATAACATTCACAAACTTTCTGCGAGGAGGCACACTCTTAATGATTATCTTACTGAGGAATACCTTGATGTCCAGATAATTAATGATGTCCTATTTTTATTCAGGCCTTTCTATAGAACTTTCAAAAGCCCCAAGAACAAACAGTGGTTTTGTAAACTGACCAGAGCTTTGCCGCTGGATTTACAGAAGTGATTGTTGACCTGGTATCAGCCAATCAGGGATGAATGGTTGGTTTACACAAATCCACCCATCATTCAGAGAAGCCGGAGTAGATTGACTCTAGTCTATGGTTAGGCATTAGGAGAGCTATTGACGATATTGTCGGTTGCACTGATGAATTTGCTGTTATGAACCAAACCAACCATCCCTGATTGGCTGTCATCAACATTCACACTTTCTGTCAGAAACTCTCTGAGAAGCTCTGGTCAAATTATGAAATGCACTACTCTGCTACGTTGCAAACTTTTGCTAGAGAAAAAATAAGAGTTATTACTTGTAGAAAGTGTCTCAAAAATCACAATGAGTGCATCGGCAAAGTCTGAAATGCACTCATTACTGCACAATTTGTGTAAAAAATTTGCATTTTTCTAAGCTTACTGCTTCATAAACGATATCACAGGACAGGTGAACATTTTGTTAGAGGAGTCATTCCATCCAACCATACATTCACATTTTTCTTGCGTCGTTAGATATTCGCCATGATTGATCTTGTGCTCTCCTCAACTAGCGAGTGGAAGCGTCCGTCTGTTGAGCAGGGATTGAATGGAACGATTCCTCTAACAAAATGTTCACTTGTGCTAGTAGTATCCTTTTTGAAGCGAGAATCTTAAAATTGCGCAAATTTCTTACACAGATTGTGAACTTAGAAGTGCATTTCAGAGTTTGCTGATGCGCTTATCGTGACTTTTGAGACATTATCTGTAAAGAACAACTCTTATTTTTGCTTTAGCAAATTTGCAACAGGCTCATTGCTGGAACTCTTAAGCAAGTCACAATGATAATAAAAATATTGTGTTAGATCAAAATGATTAAAAAAGATGTTTCTCAGCCCTCTAGCCATGTGTTTTCAGGCCTAGAGAATCTAATATTCTGTCTCATTTATATGGCATAAGGACATAATTTGTCCAGAATGGTAGCCTCTAAAGTCTTCACTTAAAACCCTGTTCAGCATAAAAGTCCCCACTTCTGGTTTTATTATCTAATTACTCCATCATCATAATTTGTAATGCCGGTTTCATTTTGATTTTAGGATTTACATGGAAAAATGGAGCGCACTTGTCACTCTGTTTTCAAAGTCACTAACATGGCAACAAAAAACTTCCTGAGGAAAGGGCTTACCTCTGCATTTGTTTCAATCCAGAGAAGGAATCTTACTGAACTTGGCCAAACTCCCTCAGAAGATGACGCATCACCCAAAGAGACAGGGCCAATACGTCTTCTGAGAAACAGGTTATCTGAGGAATTTTCCAAAAATAAAAGTGTAGACTGGAATAGCATACAGGAAGAAGCATTACAGTTGGTAAAATTTGGCAATCAAAGGAACATATCAGTAAGAATACTCCAAGTTTGTGGTCAGTTGCAAGATTTTGATGCAGGCAAAGCATTCCTAAGCCACCTAAAATCAAGTGGCTCTCCTCTAACTGTAGGTGTAATATTATCATATTTTAAGCTGTGTAACAATTTCAAACATTGTTTGACAGAGGATGATCTACAGGAGTTGAGTAATATGTGCAATATTGTTCAAACGAAGTACCACATGTTTTTGCATGGCAAATTCATCAATGACTTCATCCTTGGCCTTGCTTTAACCAACAGGTAACATTCACGTCTAATAAAATTCTCATCTTAATCGTTCTTAAATAATTTCTTTTAAAGGAAGAAGGCAATTTCAGATAAATTGAAAAATATTTTTCTCAGAGGGCACTGTGGCTCGTTTTTTTTTTTTTTCGTACTTATATGTATCCTCCCGTTAGGCATCGAAGAGGTTGTTCAGCCAATCGGTGAGTAGAGGACATCCGTCACGAGATGGAGGGATGCCAGCTTAAAAAAGAAATTTACTATCTCAAAATTTATTAACATATAAAAGTTTTAATATTATTAACGTTTAAAAGTTGAAATAAATAAATTTTTAGATTTGATATAAAAACATGGTTTAAATATCTAGTAATTAAATAAATTGGTTTAATTAAATATTGTTTTACTTATTTTAGTGTAAATTAGATTAATTGTTAGTTATTTTTTTTAACATTTTTCAAAGGAAACAAGTACCAACATGGGATATTCCCAAACATTTGACATCAAACCTGGTTTAGAGGTGTTGTCAGCTAAGTTGACAGTTGTTTACTTTCGGTTTGCAAGCACCAACGACAAATTTGGGCCTCTGAACAAAGCGGCGTTCACTACTATCCACACTGAAAACATCAGTCTCATGATCGTATCGTAAAAAAAAACTATATGTACTTATCAGTTATGATTTGTGTCTTTTTTGTGGTTGTGATTTCTTTGTGGCTCAAACTTAAAGTATTACAAGGTTTGAAAGTATTAAAAAACTTATCTAAGCTTGTGTTCTTGCTTCTGAGAGAGTCAAATGTTTTCATGTGGATAGTAGTTACGCGAAAATGCCTGCAAACCGAAAGTAAACAACCGCCAACTTAGCTGAGGACAGCTCTAATAAAAGTTCACTTCTTAAGGGCAGCATAAAACTAATTAACTTTTAAGATTTCCATACTCGCTTGCCCACTAATTTTCACAATCAGATGGACACATTTTGAGGACCCTACCCTCATCCTCAGTGATTCTCAGTGTCCATCGCATTGCCAAGATTAATAAGTAAGTTAGTCCAAAAATCTTTATATTTAAAGTTACTGGTTTGATACAATTATGCCAGGGTTTGAAAGCAGTTCATAGGAGGTTTTAGCCCACATTCGTAACTTTAAAATGAGACCTTGTTCAGCTAATGTGGTCAGAAATCCAATTTTAGAATCTTAAAATTATGATGATGATTGCCTTCTTATTCATTATCCCATCCAGATGTCCACTATCATCAAATTTTGTTTTTCAGACTAGAGGAAGGACTCAAATACCTAGAAGTTTGCAAAGACGACAGTCATGCAAGTACAGTAAGCTATGCAGCTTTGATTGAAACAGCAGCATCCCTGAAGAAATTTGATGTTGCCTTAAAACTGTTCGAGGATGGTTATGAGTGTGACAGAGATATCCAAAGTAAAACAATAGTTGTCTTCATCACCCAATGTTCAGATGCTGGTAAGGCATCGTATATTGAGTCCCTACTTCACATTATGAATCGGCACATGATCATTCCTGAGGCGTGTTTTGCTGAAAAACTGGTCGAGTTGAGCTCATCTGAGCTGTTTCCTTTCAAAGGTTCTATCACATCCATCTCAAAGTATGTATTATTAAATTATTCTTACAGTCTATCCTATGAGGCTAGTCATATCGCTCANGGGGGGGGGGGGGGGGTGAGAGGCCAAGGAGAATGTTGCGCAATTTTGTTTTGGTTAAAGGATTGGGACCTACGCTGCATAAGCACTACAAGAGGAGAAAGGGGTCGATCAATCTGAACGAAATGATAGCCCCCATAGTGTAAGAAATATTTTTATCTCAAGGTGGCCCATCCCAAGGTTAAGATGCAATCAAAGTTGCAGTTTACAAGTTTCACTCACTCGCAAATTTTTTCTACTGGTAAAAAGCCTGGTGAAATTTTTTTTCTCTTATTCCAAAAGAATAAAAAAGTACGTCAGTGTTTAAGTCAATTGCACTGAGTTATAAAGAATCAGAAATAAAACTCTGGTTTTAGGTGGGAAAGATTTTGTTTTGAAAAATGTATTACCACCATGATTGGAGTCGAGCATTACATTGAATACAGTATGTTTTGTTGCACAAAACAAAAAATCTATCTTTATTAGTTTTACAAAAAAATTCCCTATGAAAATGACACCATTCCCTCATGTATAAGGGTTGTAACTTTTTTTGAATAAAAAAAATAAAATCTGCTCAGAAATCTTAGTTAATTGAAGTGATGGAAAATTGCCAGTTTGACCACAACTAGATCCCTGGGCAAATCAGGATTAACTCATTTTCTGGGAGCCGAACATACACCACACAAGCGGCTGCCATATATATTTCTATTCCCAAAATAATATTTGGACAGCAAAAAGCCATGTCGTGGTCATCATACAAGCTCTATAAAAAAGTGTGCAAATTCTAACAAAAAAGTCAAGTGATTGTTTTAAAAGAAAAAAAAACTCGGATTCCATTACTTTTCTCAATTTTTGCACTTATGTTTCATTGGGTAGTAGCCCATATGAAAAGGGACGTTAAGGTGCATTCCAATCAGCCGAAAGAGTTCTAAATGCAGTAGATAAAATCTTTAAATCAATTTTCGCAAAACCATGCTTTTTATTAAACTATAAACTTTTCTTAACTTCATAATAATGGTTTGACATTTGTGCTAAAATCCTTGTCTGCACGTTTGATAGTCAAAGGTACCTCCATTTTAAGTTTTTTAAGCATGAAGTTCTCTGTTCCTACGGACAGCAACACATATTTTACATGCACATGTTTTCAATTTTTTTTTCTGAATTCCAGTGGTTGGTGCCAGCATTGCTCTCAAGCCCTCACTAAAATCAAGATAACCCAAAAAGAGTATGAGAATTTGAAAGTTGCACTCATCAGCGACTCCCTCATAGGAGGAGATATCTTTAAAAAAACCAATCCGAAGGAACTGAAAAATTTCCTATCTTTCATCAGAAGAACCTCTCCCTATGACATAGTTGTTGACGGACTGAATGTCATGTACCTAGTGAAGCCAGATGGTCCAAGGCACTTCAAATCTCGCTCGGTAAAATCTCTAGTTTTACATTAATCCAATCTGAAGATTACTGTAGCGTACTTACTACCTCTAATAGTTGGAATACCTGTATAGGAAGAGAATGGCCATGAGGAGGCTGCTTTTCATTGGCTCTTACATCTAAGGCTTTCTTGGAAATCTTAAGACCCAAAAATGGTGAACTTCGGAAATGCGCATATGCTAGATTAACTGAGAATGTGATTTAATTCACCGTTAACCTCCATGAATTTTGCTGCAATTACGTAAATCTACAGATTTCTACACTTAATTAATCAAGTTGGGGCATTATAATTGAAAAACTGCTTTTACTATAGTTCAATTTTATTGGAATGTTGGCAATGGGAGGTAACCATCAAAGGTTGGCAATAGGCCCCATCTCATCCAATGTAGAGTCCCTTTATACTGAGAGTCAAGACAATGTGAATCCATTTCTGATTGGTTCCCGTATTTTAGGCCTTCACATTGTCACAAACGGGAATAAAGATTACATTTTCACCGATTGCAAAGATTATAATCTGGAATGGACCAGGGAATTACGGGTTCGGCAAGGAACACACGGAATGAGAGAAGGAACGGAGAAAGGAATTTAAGAATAGGCCGATCAAAGATTACAAAGAACGTTCAATTTCTTAAATCTTTATTCCTGTTAGTGACTCCATGAGGGGTGTTGTCTCGACTCTCAGTATAAAGGGACTCTAATCCAATGTTGTCACCATTCACCATCCTAAGGTCCTCAAGCCTACATGAGAAACTGGAGGGGCAACATGGCCGTGCTCTCTCTATGGAGGCTCCTAAATAATAGTTATGCATTGAACTTTCCTGGACTTTAAATTTGATAGCCAAATTTTTAGATTGAGATAAGAAAATGTTCTCTTGAATGTTCAATGTTCAATCTTTATGATATTAATTAGAAAATTGCTCTTTTAAATTTGCTGTAAGACTATGCCACAGCCTGCTACCTTTTCTAAAAAGAAAAGAATAATAATTCACGGAAATGGAATCATTATTTTTTAAAAATTTGTGGATTACAAAACCTACCTTGAAGATAGTCAGTAACTAAAAGTTTTTAAACTTTTTGTAAAGTTTTTCAATGACCTTGGGACTGAAGTGAGTGTTTTTCAAATGTGCAGACTATGAAGAGGAAATATGTAGTTTCAAAACTTTCTCAGTTCCTAATTAAGAGCACTTTATAGTGGTTTTGTGTGTTTACCCCTTGTATCAATAGCTTAGAGCGGAAGGGTCTCAACCTCATTTTTTCAAGTCTGAATGAGAAAATTGCGCTGAGCAATGGTCCAATTGTTTTCCATGCAATGCACAATTTGTGAAGTTTTGCATATCCTGTTTGCTGATAGGCACCAATACCAAATTGTTTCAAATATATAGAGTCCCACCTACTGAGATTATAAATAACCATGACACCAAGATTATGAATGACTGGATTTTTTAAAAATGGTAGTTACACCTCTTCGCGCTAAGCCATTGCTGTATGATTCTGAAGAAACCTTTCTGCCCAAGTTTTTCGTCAAGAAGTTTTGACCTTCTGTTTAATGCATATTATTTGGTTTTCTTTATCTTGAAGCATAATTTTTTCTTTATCTTGTCAGTTAAAAATGGTTGTGCACCCGCTTGTGTCGCAAAATAAAAAAATTCTGGTCTTGTTACGGAACCACATGAAAAGTTACAAGGACCCTGACATGAATTTTGTCACCTCTCACTGCAACATTTTCTTCGTTGATAATGAGTAAGTTTTAATTTGTGTTAAGTGTTCTATCGTAGGAAAGAAAAACTGAAAAATTTATTGAAAGAAGTGGTGTCAAACATAATTAGCTCGGATAGAGAAACTACAAGTTTTTCCTTGTATGTAACAAAAAAAGTCTCATATCCTAAATAAAGAGCTAATAGCCCTCACAATGCATGTGTAGCACAAAAGAACCTCCAAAAGAAATTCTATTACACTGGACAAGATTCTTTGTCAAATCGAAATCAGCTATGCTGTCGCAAAATTGTAAGCTTCAAAAGTTTTAAGTGCGGATATGTGAGATGAGGGGACCTGTTCACTCAGTGAGTCATGGACGTTCCAAGTAGTACAGGTTGCAATAAACTGCAAATAACATGGTGAAATTATTGCCAACTGTATATTTGAGCGTTGTGTATGTTGCCTATCTACTATTAGAAGGGGCACCTCTTTTTGAAATTTATCGCTTTAAAATTGAAATAATCTGATTTTTTTGCTGCATTGAAAATTTTCTATCTTCTCAATGCATGGAACTTATTATATTAATTATTTAAAATTGGCATTTATTGACCAAATGGTGCAAAAATATTGTAATTACATGGTCAAAAAATTGCAATATTATTGATTTAAATGGAAACTGCAGTCCAATTTTTCCATTATGGTGTGCTTTTGGAGGGGGGGGGGAAGAGAGAAGAGTTTCCGGACAAACTGTTTGTTTCATAGTGGATCAGAGGCAGATATATTTTGGACAAACACCTTTTCGTACAGTGAGTCGCAGGAAGAAAGTTACATTGGACAGACTGTTTTAACCATTGCTGTTTTTCGAAATTGTTACCTTCTAGCAAAGCAGCGGCGAATGCGAGGGTGAAATTTCCTCCACTTAAACAGCAAATTCGTCCCCTCCCCTCACGAGAGGTTGAGGGGTAAAAAAGCACAAATATTGTAGGGATAATCTTCTAATTACAAGTGAGCAGAGTTTTGGCTGTTCTTTCAAAGTTCAGTGTTGAAATGTTCGAAGTTTAACAGCCATGTTTGAAGTGGACAAAAATATGCATGGTTCAGGATACGAACCTTAAGTAAGTGAGAGAAAGAAAAAATCTTATAGGAATCTCTTAAAAATTAAACTAACCTAGAAACATGAGAATTGTTGCCCTCTTATTGCTGCCCTTTGCGGAAGTGTAATTTTTACGCCTTTCATGACAGGCCTTGGTTTAAGTCGTTCCTTCAGGAAGTACAATTTTCCTGTGGTGGATGCAGGGGCCCTACAATAATGAACATAACAGCTAAACCAACACATCCAAACTATAATTGCGCGCAAGATGGGTGCCTCGGGGACCAAATCATTCCCAAAAACTGGTGCAGAGCTTTGTGTTTCAAAATCAGAGTTGTTTTAAGAAGTTGAGTTAAATAAAGCCCTTGGAATACCAATCACTCAATACTTGAACACTCATCTAATGACTTTCTATCTCTGAGGGTCATCTAAAAGTTTTATGTTTCCGGTCTTTAATTGAGCCTTTCATTTTTTTTTTTTTTTTTTTGGATAATATTTCAGATCTTCTGATGACAATTATTTATTGTATGCAGCTTTATATAATCCTCTGGGAACATGTTTCATCTCAAAAGATTTTATGCGAGGTCACAAATCCAGCTTAAGCACCACTGAACTGCGAAAAACTTTCAAGTTATGGCAGCAGTCCCATCAAATAGTACCTTACAGGATAGGCTATGAAACCGGGTTGCAGGTTAGTCTCTTGCTAGTTTTGAAGTGTAAAATCAAGCACCGAATTAGCCCAATCCGTGTCTTTGAGTCAAAGAGACGAAAATGACAAAATATCAAAGAATATTAAAGCTATGCTATAAGATGATCAATAGTAAACCAAAAGAAATATTGCAAATTCAAGCACTATGATACATGTTTTCTCATCAAAACTTCACGTTGAACACGATTTGTACAGAGGAAATTCCTGAAAGTAATTCTGTATCAAGATATTAGCATTTTTCGATGCATGAAATCCAACTTCCCGCTCATAGAAAAATCAATAAGCTACTTGAGTTTAGTCACACATTAAACGTCACTACGACAGTCTTTGCAGTATGAAAATGTGGCAACCTCAATCTTGGCGCTTCAGCTCAGCTTTTAAACGTTACAAGTAAATGGTTTCAGTCCTAAGAAAAAGGAGTCATGATCAAAGGTTTCACTTGGTATTATTAAACAATCACAGATTTTGTCAATTTTCACCCCTTGGCTCACCAGCTATGAAAATTACAGTTGATGCTGACTCTTTCCGATATAAAGTGACTGACAAAAAATAACTGAAAAAAAGCTTAAAATTGTTCTTGGCAACGAGATTCACCGGTAAAAGTGGTTGATTTTTGACTTATTAGTCTGAAATTCGAGCTTCGTTTGACTGTGTGGAACTCCTGTCCAATTTTCACCGGGCTCGTATGCTGCAATCTGTCACTTGTGCCTCATTCACTTGTTTCCCTTCCTTTCAGTAACAAATAACAAGCTGAAAACGGCAGATGTTCCACCTAAAATGTGACCGTTGATGGAAAAGGAGACCTTTGTCCTATTAATACTCAAAATTAAGTTATTGATACCAGAGCTTAAAGGAGGGTTCTATGAGCGTTTGGGGGGGGGGGATTGCCATTGTCTTTCTGTCAAAACCAACCAAAGTTACTGCAGTTTGAAGTTAGCAATTAAAAAATATAGTTCCAGGAAAAGCTTTTTAAAATTCTAATTTCTAATCTAGACGGTTCAGGATAGGAAATTCTCGGATTACTATGCAACCTCACACCCCTATTGGCACAAACCTTAGCTAAAATGCTCGCAAATTAATCTGTAGGGCTCAAGAAAGAGCTCTTTGTCAATATCTGAAGATCTATTTTGAAACCCAATTTGCTAAAAATTGCCCTGTACGGAAAAGTCTGCCTTTAACCGCACGGTCACAAATGCATTGCTGGTCTGCTATTTTCACATATTTACCAATCTGCACCAGCAGGAATCTATCTGATCATCTTTGTTCACTTTTTTTTTGTCAATTCGTTTGTATTGTTCTAATTTTAATACTTTGCTTTTTTGCAGTATCCTGTGGAGCACTTTTTGATACCCCATAAATCTCAGGAAGGTACATGGCACATACCTTTCTCTACCTCAGGAAGGATTAATTATGAACATGATCATTTTTACATCAATTTACCTGAGTTAGAACAACGGAAAACTTTCTCATGGCTGTGCTTGAAACCCAGAAATGAAAGTGACGTAAAATGAATGATAACTCAGATCATATGACTCTATTTGCTGAAGGAAACTGTTAATCAGGCAATGCTAAGGTTTGGATTATTTTTATAATCATTTTCAAGTACACCCTAACAAAGAGGAAATCGAGGGGTTCAAATCATTTATTTACTACAAGTGAACATCCTAGGGGAAAGGGATCTTCGTCAAAATTGAGATACTTTTACACAGAACTCAGCACACTTTGGCCATCAGAGATCCTGAATTCCAAGGAAGGAAAGCTCTAATAATGCTAAACAGGGTTCTTTACTCTGACTTTCAAAGGAAAGTGAAGGAAGGATTTACATTGCCACTGTACAATATTGTGCTGTGCTACATCAGAATTACGGTTCTGCATTTCAGATTCTGTGATTTTTGAATCTGGTACTTTAGAACAAGGTAACTTTCATACCCGCAAAATTAGTTACTTCAGGGTACACACTACAGAATATAAAGTACGCATCCTGAAAGAATAAAAACTGCATGTGATCAGGCTTTCTTATTATGAAGTGTCCCATCTAAAAAAAGACTCTTAGTCCGAAGTGAAGTTCTGCGGTTTTTGATGAGATAGGCAGCACAGGAAAGAAGTTAAGCAGCTGTCAAAAAGGTCTGAGAACATCATAAGTGCAACTGAAGTCGGCTTTTGGCGAAGAGCATTTTTTGCTAAAAACTTAAATTCCGATTTTTCAACTGAATGAGCTTGTTTAGTGATGCTTAATTCATGCATGTCTACAAACTAGGGAGTGCACAGAGCTCACAGGAATTTTTCCTGATGTTTTTGAACAATAACAACCCACGAAAAACGAGCTTGAAGTTGCATGTTTCGAGCTGGCATGTAAACGTGTGTCGGCGGGTCATCCAAGATGGCCGCCGCGGTCGCCCGTCGAAGAGTGGCCACACTCGTTGAGTTAACCACTGCAGCGTCCTGTAGTTCGCACGCGATGCGGCGCGATTTCCTACAGTTCTTGAGCAGGCTACAGAACACTACGGAGTTAACTCAACGAGCGGGGCCATTCTCCGTCGGGCGTTCGCTGCAGCCATTTTTAGTGACCCACCGATGCGCGCTTAGATGGGAGCTCAAAATATGCAACTTTGAGCTCGTCTTTTATGGATTATTATTGTTCCAATACATCAAGGAAAATTCCTGTGAACTCTGTGCACTCTGAAGTTTTCAGAAATACAGGAGTTAAACATTACTAAAGAAGCTCATTTGACAAAAATTACTCTCCTGTAAGATTTGCTTCCATTAGAGCTTCATTTTGCATCGAGGAACTAATATTTCTGACTCATCTTTTAAACCTTATATCTGAATATCTAGTCCATGTAAGGTCCATTTTTTCATGGCCATCATGTATGTTACTTGACTATATTTGAGCATTTACCCTGTTGTTCTTTTGTTATATTTTGTATTATCTGTTTGGTTTTTATCTCTCAATTTGCTAATTCTTGTAAGTTGTTTCATCATTTAAATATTTTAAAGAATGATTCTTTGGATACAATGAAATAAATAACTTAATTTGTCATAAGTAGTCAATTATAAGTAACAAAAAAGGAGAAAATCTTCGCGAGGATAAAAACCGACCCTTCAAATCAAAGTTAGGAAGTATGCAACACTTCTTGTTTTTGTGGAACATCTAAATTTCAAATTTTTAATCTTCCCAGAAATAGACAAGTTTCTCAAAATTATTTGCATCATGGGGTGTTGTTGCACTGTCTCCTCAAAATGAACTAATTTTTCTACAAAGCTGATGAAGTTGAAATAGCACAATGTTCTGTTAATAAATGTCAAATTCTATTTTAAAAAAGTATCTGTGTTTTTATTTAAAGTAATTTTTTTATTTTCAATGGTATTTTTTGTTTACACCAATTGTACATTGTACAACCCAAATTTTCTTACGATTTTGCAAAACTTATAAGTTACATTAGGATCCATCAATTAAAACTTCCTTCCTCCGGAGAGAACCAAAATTATTACAAGCCTTTAAGAATTATGCACTGCATTCAGAAAATATTCTGAGTCAGGTTTTATAGCAAACTTCATATCTGATACTCCGTGCTAAATAAGATTTTCCTGGAAGAACAGCACAGCACACACAAAGAAATCTCTAAATTGTTACAAGTTTTGACTTGGAACAGACTTTGATTTGCAAGTGAGATTACTTTTAGATTGGCAGATATGGAAAATGTTGAGTTCTCAGGCAAGAATTGGACGTGTTTTTGCTGAAAGGAATCGTTCACAAATGAAGTATATTGAAAGAAACTGTGCACAGGGTCTGAATGCCACACATCTCCTTTTGATTTAATTTATTTGCATGGAGTTCCTTTTAGCCTAAATACATACAATTGATGTTAGAAATTTTAAGGCTGTCCATCTTGCTCTCTATAGAAATTATAAGGAGAAACCAATGAACTTTGATTTGAGCATTTACGAAAGCTTTTCTGAACTTTAAACTTCTTTATTTTCAATATAATAAATTATGCAGTCAATACTGCTTTTGTACAGAAATAAATACTTAAAATAAAAATCTAAAGTAATAAAAGATAAATATTAGCTTAAAAATAATTTCCTTAGCATAACTAATGGCCCTCTGTTGCTGATTTCGGTTTAAGATCTCTCCTTAATTTGATTGTCTCTCCAACATAATAGTCACTTTAAAGGTCTTTTGATTGGAAGTAGGTAGATTTTGGGTGATTTAGCCTTTGGGCACTGATGTTAAGCCAACCTGTTGAAGCAAAAAAGAGATGATTATATTTTCAAATTATAAAGGCTAAATCTTAAATGAAAACATAAATCTGCCTGTATGACACATAAAAACTGAAAAATTGCCCATAAACACCCCCATGAAATTATGGAATTTTGTAGCTGGTAGCTGTATGCAGACAGGGTTTCAGAATAGGTACTTATTTGATTCCCCATATCATTATTTGGAAGGTCTGAAATATAATAAGAAAGCTCCGTGAAGTTTTGTTCAAGTAAAATAAGAACTTAACAATTTTCATCAACTGCTTCAAGTTTAATTATGTAAAATCTTTTGAAGTTCTCATGACTGGCAATATTTTAAAAAAATAGACAATAAAAAAAAATCTGAATACTCAGCACACTTCGAACTTTAAAAAAACTGGATTAAATCATTTCATTCAGCCTTCTCATTTTCAATGGACTTTTCAGGCAGGTATTTTCACAAAATAGCATGGAAATTGACTGCAAATGTTGCAAATTTGCTGTCTCATTTGATTTTAGTGTAGCTGTTATAAAATTAAAAATGATATGGAAGAATTTTAGACAAAATGGTAATTAGCACCAGGTTTTTATCACCTGTTTTTGAAACTTTTAAAAAGTGCGATTACAAGACACCTTAATGTACGTGTCTAACAAGAGAAAAATGAAAAAAAAAAATCAGAAAATTCACAAGATAAAATTACCCTTTGAGCTTCAGTAACCACGCATTCTGCTAGCTTTCCTGCAATGTTGCACTCATTCCTTTCATGTTCAACTAGAAAGCAGTAAGAAAACAGAGCTAAGTATGAGGTACAAACATAGACTGAATTACCGCTTTTTTTCATTTGTTTGGACAAGTTTGTCTCGTGGTCACCATTTAGGTCATGTCTGTTTTATTGAACATACAAATTTCATTTCAGGTTCTCATGATGACTTTGAAGGAGGATTTAAGTCAGGGTCAGGTAACTANGGGGGGGGGGGGGGGGGGGGGGGTTAAAGACAAAGGTCTCTCAAATGAGAAGGCATTTTCAACCCATTTTATTCTTTTAATGAATTAATCTTGGAAAGTAAAGAATATTTCACATAATAGTTAGTTAGTTATTTTATTTATAGACATTCAGCATCCTTGGCTATTAGGTACCTAACTGTCTTTACAAAGAATTCGGGAGATGATAGGAGACTGTTTCTAAAGTAGTACCTAGGTACATACACGAACTTGCATCAACTTAAGATGAAGGATCTACGACTCAATTTTGATTGAGCTTGAATGAATGAAATTTCGAGTGAATTTGTGATTTGTCTTGGAAACTGCCCCTCCTTCTCCAGACTAGGGCATGAGCTCCGTTTGTCCTGTCATAACGGTATCAAGCACGTATAAAATGAATGGAATTAATAAAAATTCTATGTCACCGACAGTGGTAATGTTTATTTCAAAAACAAGAACTAACCTTGCTTATCACATGCTACTATGACCTGCTTTGCTTTGTCCATATTCTGAGGTTGAGTGCTGTAATACCTCTGCGCTAAAGCCATGGCACCATCCTTTGAAAATCTTTTGTTAACAATCTAAAATATAGAAATAATTGTGCAGGAAAATATAATCAGACTGAAAAAGGAAATAGAAAACCAGCAGCACACCTCATAGAGAGAGAGGGGGGGATATTACTCATAAATTGTCCAAAATTTATCTTCTTCTTCTTTTTTTTTTTTTTGATAAGTAGTAATTATCATTGGCATTCATACCATAATTTTTAGCTGTATTCAGCACGTAATCAGGAATCACGCGTATGGAGAAACGAAAACTAGACAAGCTGAAATGGTGTCTTAACAACTGCGATGCTGTAATGAAATTATGACGATTTAATCTTATTTTTTTAGTCAGTGAATTTGAATTTGTTATAAATAATTGAATGCCTCAACGCTGACACTCTCACAAGTATCTTGATTGCCTAAATGTTTTATCCCAGAAAAGCTTAACGTCATGAGGACATATCCCGCCATCGTTCAATTTTTAATTAGGGGCGTACTTATAAAAATAATAATGCTTAAAGAACGCTCAAAGCTTTTTACTTACAATTTTGGCCTCTCTCATAAGACACGCCATCATGCACTGAAAAAAATGTAAAATACAAGCATAAATTATTACATGGTGTATAAGTATAAACTGCTTCAGAGTTGCTCTAGTTTGCGATTGCTGACCAGTGTTTTATTTGGACTAATATTTTTTTTTGACCAATCTTTTTTTTTTTACTTACATTTTTCTTTTCTTTTTGGGCCCAGATAGGCGCGGTAGGGAGGAAGGAGGTGGTCATAGAACTGATGGTCATGTGCCGTTTCGAATATCGCGCGCTTTTTTAAGACCGGCCAAGAGGACACGGAGTAAATGACGCGATAAGAATATCCACGTTCTGGTCCCGAGTAGCATTTTTCAAAATGAAAGTTCTAATTTATCGATTTCATTTTGCTGTGAAATTTGAGTCCTCTAAATAACCGCCCATCCATCCAAACCCAACACTGATTCGTATACATTTTGCGTCTGAAATGATGGAAAATTTCTTTTATCCCAGTTTCCCAAGGGACTACTCCCGCTTAATGCTTGCTGCCAAAGCTGAAAATTACCTTAATTTTTTCCATCACCCATCAATTGCAAACACAATTTCCCAAAAATCGCCCGATTTACTTAGGAAAGAATGTGTGTTTTCGTAAAATTATGATCAACCGGAAAATTTAAAGGTGTCCAAGATAACTAAGGTCATTTACGGCTCTCAAAAAATAGTGTGAGTTGTCCCATCTGACTTCTTGGTAAACGCGAAGTTTAAGTCTTCTTAAACGAAAGACAAACGGATTAGCTGTACATATATCGATGGCCAAAATGCGAAACCGCGTATCTTCGTTTGTGATGTTGCACACATACGCAAGTAGGCACCTAATTTTTTAGATGGAAAACTAGTCAACGGAATTTCTTGATAACTTCCACATGATTTTTCTTCCATGTCACGTGAATATTCTGTGTAAATTTCAAACGATAAAGATGGGTTGTTCTTCCTCGGAAATAAAATAGGAGCAGACATTTTGAAAGACCGTAAAGGAGGTTTCTGGTTTTGCACTTTAACCATCTCCAGCAGGGTCGGACTGGCTCGCATCTGAGGGCGTAGACCCTTGGCTGGTTAAAGGGGCGTAATGTGATATTTCCTGGCTGGGCATTCCCTATCCCTACGTGGAGAGGGGTTCAGAAAGATTTTGGAAAATCAGCACAAGTTTACGCTATTTTCAGGTTCAAAGTTTATTGATCGCACGGAGAAAACATTGCAAAATTGAACGTGAAGAACAGCATTGAGAGCTCACGCTTCGCGTCATGGCGCCTTCAATTTTTCAGATGCAGCACGGACGTCCATCAAGTACGAATAGTTGTATGTCTGCGCCGTCGTTAACACGCATTCTTTCCCTCCCTCTTTTTCCATATTGTGTTTGTTTCCGTTTGTCTTATTCGTAATGGTGCTTCAAGCACTACGTGAGTAATACAGCCGAAGGTAGGAGAGATGTCCTCAGGCCTTTTTATTAACTTTTCTCCCGAATCAGAGCGACGCTTCATTGGCAGCATAAAGCAGAGCATTGAGAGCTCATGGTCCGCGTCATGGCGCCTTCAATTTTTCAGATGCAGCACGGACGTCCATCAAGTACGAATAGTTGTATCTCTGCGCCGTCGTTAACACGCATCCTTTCCCTCCCTCTTTTTCCATATTGTGTTTGTTTCCGTTCGTCTTATTCGTAATGTTGCTTCAAATTAGAGCAGAGCATTGCGAGTTCACGACTCACGGCCACGGCATCGTGTCTTACATTTTTCATATGCAATGTGGACAATTGGACATCCGTCTTGCGCGAATAGTTGTATCGCGTTTACATTTTAGATATCTGTTATTTTTGAATTTCGAGATAAATTAAGGTTAAGTTTGCCCGAGCTATGCTATGGTATGTCCAAATCAATAGTCATTTGAAAAGGAGGAAATATGTTTAAAGGTCTCTTAAGAGGTCTATAAAAGATGCGTATGTCTAAAAATCGAACCGACCATCGCTTCCTAGGGAGTTACACATAGCGAATGAAGGAGGGGGATGATAAAGCACCTGTATGTCAAGAAGGAGGTGAAAATTTCACGGAAAATTGATCACGCTTCAGAAAGTAGTTCTTGGACCTCTGTTCATCACTATCATGCGTTAAAGTACCTTTCTTTACTCCTAACTCTATCTTCTTCCGTTCATTTAATAAATTTTTCTCACATATTCTCGGTCGTAATTTTTTTTCTTCTTATTTTGCTATCTGTAAGAGGGGCGCGTTTTCGGCGCGCAAAGGGGGCGTATCTGCCAATGGCAGATTGGCCTTATGGCCAGTCCGAGCCTGATCTCCAGGCGCGAATACCAGTGAGAAGAAAAACCTGAGCAATGTATGGCGGGATAGGGGAAATTACTTTTCGCAGGAACAGTACTATACCAACTTATGTACATGAGTTATTGTATTGATGATGTATATGAAAAGGAGGAACAGATTGAATATTGCGTCTTGTTATTTTATGAATGGCTTTCTTCCCCTGTCTCACTTACCTTTCCTTTCTCTGATGACGGCATCTCCATTTTTTTGAAGTTGTCCAAATCCTCTGAAACAAAACATCAGCATACTTTCTTACTGTTTCGTTGAAGTCACTTCTGTTGGCATTTATGCACTTACCGACACGCATACGGTTTACACAGTTGGATTATTTTATTACCATCTCAAAGCATTTTTTTTTTTTTCATGAAGTTCATGAAAACGTTGCGCGAGACTGCAAATCCGGATATCGATCTCCAACCAAGTTATTGGTTTTTCTAATAGACACTGATCAGAAAGCTAACTACGATATCGTCACACACCTCCTACTTGATAAATGTTGGAAGCACACGTTGTTTTCCAGCGTAGTTCAGTAGGAACTCTGTAAGTTTTGTCGGAATAATCGTGATTCAGAGAATTCAGACGGTGTGCGTAATAAGCTACGTCGATTCAAGGATAGCACTTACGTGTATTTTGGAGCGCATGTAGTCTAATCAAACAAATGAAGGCGCGCCGAACGTCGGCGGTGCCTGTGGCTTATTTTGGGTTCAAGATGTGGTCAGTTCAGTACTTCAGTTGTAGTATTCTCAGTTCGTAACTGCACGATTTCACAGTTTTCACATGATTTTCCCGGGTGACAAATGAGTTTTTATCATTATTTTCACATGCATGTTACTCAAGCATTATTAACTATCTTTGAGTCAATGAAATATTTACTCCACTTCGATTCAGCAGGAGGCTCGATGCCATCGGGAGTTTTTACCAAATGAAATTTTTTTGTTATAAAGAACCAATCACATAACGTCCATGAAAATATGCCGAGAAGCTCATGGGTGCGAATTACTTAAAGTAAATCCTTGCCAGGACAAGTGAAGCTAGAGAAATTCTCAACTCTGCAGAATTTCGAAGAAAAACTGACGAGTGTTGATTCCTTGAATATGACATATATTTTGAAAAATGTCGGCTGTTTCAACCCTCTTTAGGTATACATTTATATACTCAACGTATCCCCTTTCTCAAGTAGCATTTTTCAACGGAAAAATCGGGATATATAGCAATTATATCGACGATAAAATGGCTAGAATCATCAACATCTGAGCAAGTATCCTCGATCTTATCGGGATAAAATCACGATTTTATCGCCCAGTAACTTATCGCGATTAAAGGCGATTTAATGTCGATTTTACTGACGAAAATTGATCGCAATTTTATCGAACCAAAAATTGCGATGTGTATAGCGATTTAATCGCCATATATAGCAATTTTCAATAACATATCGACATATTGCCACCAATATAATCGCTATTTATCGCGATCACTGCTATTTGCTCCATATTAATAATTTTCTCAATATTCCATGTTGATTTTGACGTATTGGTGCTAATAAATGAACTATGTATGTAAAAATAGGTACATTAAATTAGAAGGAACCGGGTATAGGTAAGTACATATGCGGTACACGGAGCCTAAACACACAGTTCCTTTTGATTTCATCCGTTTCCAGGTAGTTCCCTTCTGCACAAATACATTCATTTATTGACAGGCCTGGACTTAGGGCGTGTGCAGGGCGTGCGGCGCACACGGGCGCCAGCCTTTGGGGGCGCCACGAAAGAAAAAGAGAGGGAAAAAAGAGGGGGGAGGTAAAGGAAAAAAGGGAAAAAAGGACAAGGGGAAAAAATGAAAAGGAAACAAGGTTGGGCAGTGAAAGCAAGGAAGAAGGGGGGAAATGTAAGGAAAAAGGAGGCAAGAAAAGTGAAAAGAGAGTCCGCGAGAAAGGGGGGTGGGGCATAAAAACCATAGACAAAATATAAAGAGAATCGCCGTCTAAAGGTAAATTTTCAGGACAAAAACTCCACCTGGTCCATAGACGGTCACGCGTCCCTTGACCCTAAATTTGCGGCTGTACAGAAATACAAGAGTAGGCATGTAGTAAGGGGGCGCCATAAATCCATCGAACAGGAGCCGACATAGCATATTAGGCCACGTCCGCCATCTTGGATTTGAGAATTTCTAAACATTGTAAAAATTCGAGGTTTCGGTCGAAAAATACCCTCAGACACCGAGTTTCAAAAAAATCCATCGAACAGGAGCCGACATAGCATTTTAGGCCACGTCCGCCATCTTGGATTTGAGAATTTTTAAACATAGTAAAAATTCGAGTTTTCGGTCGAAAAATACCCTCAGACACCGAGTTTCAAAAAAATCCATCGAACAGGAGCCGACATAGCATTCTAGGCCACGTCCGCCATCTTGGATTTGAGAATTTTAAAAAATCGACTAAGAATTCGAGTTTCCCGTCGAAAAGTACCCCTGATCCCGCGGTTCACAAAGCTCTAACGAACAGAACCGGGGCTCATTTTAGGCCACATCCAACATTTTGGAGTTGAGAATTTTAAAAAATTGACAAAAAATTCGAGTTTTCCGTTGAAAAATACCGTGTGATACCACGTTTCACAAGACTCGAACAAACAGAAACCGAGATAGCATTTTAGCCCACGCCCACCATCTTGAATTTGAGAATTTTAAAAAATGGACTAAAAATTCGAGTTTCCCGTCGAAAAATACCTCCTGACACCGAATTTCAGAAAAATCCATCGAACAGGGGCCGAGATAGCATTTTAAGCCATTTCGGATTTTCGAATTTTGAATTTTTTGAATTTTGACAGATTTTGATTTAAAAAGCGTGATCCCTAAAATCGAAGCTCAGATTCGGATTCCTCGTAAAAAATCGATGCGATTTCATGTATCATACCCTGACACCGAATTTCAGGAAAATCCATCGAACAGGAGCCGAGATGGCATTTTAAACCACGTCAGTCATTTCAGATTTTCGAATTTGGAAAATTTGACTTAAAACGCGTGATACCCAAAATCGAAGTTCAGATTCGGATTCCTCGTTAAAAATTGATACAATTTCATGTATCATACCCGAGCATAGCCTGAAGGAAAGAGACGTAACGTAGACATACTGA